TATTTATTATATTACATATAATATATTATTGTATTATATATTATTATATTAGTATCACAGTATATATAATATAGAATTATATCATATACTATATTATGATTGTATTATAAATGATCAGATATTATATATTATATATTGTGTGTTATATCATATAATGTATGTGATATATACTAAATATGCAATATATAATATAGTATATGTATTATAATATATTAATTATATATTGTAATGTATTAATACACATTTATATTTATTAACATATATATTATATGTATTAAATATCATATGTTATTATATATCGTTTATTACAATATATATAGAATTTTAAATCCTTGGAAAATGACTTCTTGGTGTTTTTAGGTTTCTTAGATGTCGATACAAATTCTTCCACATTGTCAATGTGATTAACATTGACATAGGTAAATAAGAGATGCCCTTTCTGTCTTTGTCCATAGATAGAGGTAACTTTATTTTGTAGCCCTAGAGATCATATGACTAATGCAAGGTTGGAATGGAAAAAAAATATTTGTACTAGAGCTGCTGATGGTGATAAAAGGTAAAATCAAATAGGCTCCCTTCTTTTGAGTGAAAAGAGAAGAGGCATGCAGTAGATTATGTGATACTTACCACTGCCCAGTAGTCTTGGGTAAAATCACCATTGATGGACATATCCAGAAGCAGTAGAACCATTCCAGCAAGAGTAAAAATAACACTAGCAATATTCATTCCTAGGCTGCTTATTATCTAATGGAGATGACAGGAAAAGTGAATTTTATATTGGCTAAATGAAATGAAATGATGTAAGAATAAGCTAAATTAATGACTGAGCCTATGCTCAGACAATCATTTAGAGGGAAGGAGCCATAAAGGATGCAGAGAAAGGATGCTTTATTTATAGTTGTTTATATTGGTTAAAATAGGAATGATTAGTCAGGTTTAGCCTGATTTAATTATTGTATTTTTCTTTTGCCTGGAGGAGGATGAGCAACAAGCCTCGATGTTATCCTTTCCCCATTCTTTCCTTGGGTATTGAATTATACATAATCTTCACACTACCTCTCGGCTACTTGGTTCTAGTTCTTGGCAAACATTCTCTTTTTCCTGATTCAAAATTAGACGGCAAAATTGCAACAGATAGGGTGCTGTGACTAGGAAAATTGAAAATCTTCTTATGTTCTGATCTAGATGCTTTAAATGACAATTTTAAAAATTGGGAAATAAAATCCCAATCTAAATGAGGTTAGGGAATATATGCAAATAAAAATAAAATTACAGGGCAGAGCTGAGAAATAGCAAATGAACAATAGTAGAGACTTTGTTACTCAAGAGGCAAATAGGTGTTTCTGACTTCCAGAATCTTTTTTGGACTTTTGCTAATGCACTGTGATCAACTAAACGTTTAAGCCTGTAGGTAAAGCTTAACCAACCCTTACCTTCACCGCCTCCCACTCTGTGAGTTCGAGTCTGGATGCAGAGCTCTGTGATTTCTGAGTGGCAAATGATGTGGCCCATTCCCATCCAGCCCACATACCATGGAGACAACAAACAGATAAGGGAAATTTTCCTCCCAAGAAATTAAACCAATCTTTAGAAAGGTACAAAAAGTAGAAACTTTCTAACTTACCAGAGCAGGGGAAAACTTCTTGGATGCTGATATAGAGAGAGACCCACAAACAATGAACTGTTGAAATAGACAGATTTATTTGTGAAGTAATGGGTTCTTTGTGCCTGGAAACATTTTATATGAAAAATTGGTATATTCGTATTTATTTAGTTTCCCTCTCAAAATTTTCTCTCCTATTTCTCAATTTTCTGGAGTAACTCTCAGAGATGTGTCAGAAAATTCCTTTTTTTTTTTCTCTTTAGTTTCTTGTATTTAAAGCTTATTCTCTGCTTATCATCTATGAGCTTTCCTTGGGATGATTCCTGAGCTGACTGCTCATCTCTTCTCATTCTCAATTGTGTGAATGTGTGTGTATGTGTGTGTGTGTGTATTTTTTCTTTTTTAGAAGTTTGTCTTCGGGCGAGTGTACTCACCAGAGAGACAGAGTGAAAGTGAGAAATCACCCCCTCAGCCCCCTAGGGAGAATAGCCATATCCCAATCCCTTCTCCATTCTCTCAGGAGTTGGCCGCACATACATACATGCCTGGCCTCTTATTCACAGTGTTGGATCTGGGATTCAAACCAAAGAATTGACCATGTGCGATCCAACTGCCTTCACCTCCATGCCACCTGCTGGCTCCTCAATTGTATATGTTTAATCATGTTTCTGATCATCTGCTTTTTCACTCTCCACTCAACATATATATTTCCATCTAAAAATGAAATGGGACCTAACATGACACGCTACTAACTTTAACTGAGTAAACTTTCTCATATGGGTTTAAGCTGCAAGTTAATTTGGGGAACAATAGTTCCCTATTTTTATGCCCAAATCATGCTGTCACTTATTTAAATCCTTCATCACTCAGATGCAGCGCTTATTAGAAATGAGTGATGAATAGGCTGGAAATAGTTATATTTAGAAACTGATAAGGAGATGTATTCGGATAGTCTACTCACAGAGATGCCACCCCAGTATGGGTATCCGCCGGTAGAAGCAGTGGAGGCAAAACCGCCAACATGTCCGGGAACATCATTCATTAAACCCAAAATAATTCCAAAACCAATGTGCATACATCCAATGATGATCTGGATCCCCTGGAAAAGAAAACAGGATTTTAAAATTACTTCTTCTGGGGACCAGCAGGTGGTGTGGTGGTTAAGGTGCTGGACACTCCCACATGGCCTACCAGGGTTCGAGTCCTGAATCTGGTGGTTTGCTTCCTCACTTCCTCTCTCTCTCTCACTTTCTCTCTCTCTCACTTCCTCTCTCTCTCTCACTTTCTCTCTCTCTCACTTCCTCTCTCTCTCTCACTCTCACCCTCTGTCTCTCTCTGGTCAAATTAAAAAATAAATGAATGAATAAATAAAATAAAGTCTGTACTAACATGAGGTGACTTCAAAACATTTAAAATCACTTCTTCATTGTCAGGGCTGTGAAGCGTTACCATCACTGGTGCTCCTGGTTATTTATTGTCAACTTTGCCAAGACCCATGGGTGCCATTTAGGGGTGGATATAAAGCTGAAGGTGGACCATGATGACTTTGACATACACTAAAATAACAGGAGAGCAAGGGCCCTGGCTTTGTTTGAGGTATTTGGGAGGTTTGTCAGGGTGGCCCAGGACGATTCTTCAGAAAGGACAACTGCTTGACCATGCACCAGGATCCACTCAAAACCTCTAGAAGACACTTAGAAAATAAATGCTTTAAATATGACTTCCTGCCTGCTGTTTTCACAGGGATTAGGGAGGTGATTTCTCACTTTCTGTCTCTCTGTCTCTGCCTCTCCAGCAAGCACATGTACCCTATAGGAAAAAAGGAAAAAAAAAAAAAAAAAAAAAAAAAAACTCCGCTTATCCTTTTAAAGGGTTTTTATTTTTTATTTTTATTTATTTATTTTGTTTATCGTATGCCTCTTTGGTACCAGGGAGACTGCTCAATCTGTTCCATAAATCTGTTCAATCTGCTCATTCTGTTCCATAAAAAACAAAACCTTCAGTTCTGCTGGTCTCACCAGGTTTGACCCTGGGCCTACCTTCCTGCTACCTGTTTCCTCCCTCACTCATTCTGTTATGTTTTACTGGCTTCCTCCCTGGTCTTCAAATACACCGCACATATTTTTATCTGAAGATTTTTACCCTGGTCATTTTCTTCTGCTTGACTTCTGCACGGCTCATTCCTAGCTTAATTTCTTTGCTCAGACATCATGTTCCAAGGAAAGCCCACTCTTAGCAAATGAAATTTCCTATCACTCCTTGCTTATCCCTTCCACAGTTCTTCATTTTCTCCATATCATTTGTCATCTCTAACACATGCGTTTCTTTATTATGCATGTGGTCTGATTTCTTTTTTTCTTTTTATTTGGGGGGGGGGGAGGCAATGATTTTCTTTTTGTTGCATGAAGAGTATTTTTTTTTCCTGTACAGCATAGTTTAATTATATTTTATTTCTTTTTTATTTACGTTTTTATTTCATTTTCTTTATACATTCAGTCACATTATTAAGCTTACAAAGTGAATATTTCAACATTTGAACATTTCTCCCTAGTCCAGTTGATAAAAGTATAAAATATCTTCAACAGATACCACAGTTCTTTGTCCCATTAATGCTTTCCCTCCCTATTTTCCTTCTAAATGTCCTTCCTCAGACCCTCCTCTTTCACACACACTATATCTGGCATTTACATCCATTTACTGTGTTTCTATATCCTTTATTTCTTTTTTAAAAAATTATTTACATTTAATCACTATATATCTTTACAGTGTACAAAATAGCTTTTCCCAGCACACATACAGTGCATATCAGTCGAGACAAAGACATTACCATATACATTGTCATCAGCAAATAGCTTCCATTTTCATGTCAATTAAATGTATTGTTTTTCTTTCTCTCATGTTCCCCTTCCTCCCTCCTTCTATTACCTACCCCCATACTACCCCTATCTTTACTATCTCTGGAGATCTACAGAATCCTCCCTGCTACTATATCTTCCAGCTGTTCAGTCTCTGTAATAGAGCACAGACATTTGGCATACACTGAGTGGGGACATGCAAAATCTGTCTTTCATAGTCTGACTTACTTCACTTAGCATTAAATCTTCCGTATTCATCTACTTAGTATCAAATGTCAAGGTCTCATTGTTTTTTATGACTGAATAGTATTCTATAGAGTACATATGCACCGATTTTTCAATGCACTCATCTATTTTTGGACATTTGGGTTGATTCCATGTGCTAGCAAATTAAGTAATGCTGCAATAAACATGAATGTGCAAGTGTTTCTACAACTGAGGATTTGCCTGTCTTTTGGGTAAATACCTAAGAGTGGAATTACTGGGTCGTATGGTGGTTCTATTTGTAGGTTTCTGAGGAATGTCCATATTGTCCTCCGCAGTGATTGTACTAATTTACATTTCCACCAACAGTGTAGGAGAGTTCTTCACCACAGCCTTGCCAGCACTTATCATTATTTATTTGTTTAATTTTAACCATTCTGACTGAGGTTCAGTGGTATCTCATTGTGGTTTTGATGTACAGTTCCCTTATGATAAGAGATATCAAGCATTTTTCATATGCTCCTTGGCCATTCACATGTCTTCCTTGGAGAGTTGTCTATTAATTTTCCCATCTTTTAATTGTTTTGTGTGTGTGTGGGGGGGAGGGTAAGTTGCTTGAGTTCCCTGTATATTCTGATTATCAGTCCCTTATCTGAAGTATAGCTTGCAAATATACTCTCCCACTCTGAGTGTTGTTGCCTCATCCTAGTTATTGTTTCTTTTGCTGTGCAGAAGCTTCCCAGCCTAAGATAGCCCTGTTTGTCCATCTTTGGGACTATTGCCTGTACTTTGGGGGTCTTCTTTAAGAAGTCTTTGCCTACTCCAAGGGCTCCAAGAGTTTTCCCTGTGTTTTCTACCAGTATTTTTATAGGTTGAGGGTTTTTTATTTGTTTGTTTTTGTTTTTGTTTTTGCCCCAAGTTTAGATCTTCAATCCGTTTTGAGTTGATTTTTACTGGTGGTGAGAGATAAGGGTTCAGTTTTATTCTTCTGCAGGTGGGTATCTTGTTCTCCCAGCACCATTTGATAAAGAGATTTTCTTTTCCCCACCGGATTGTCTTGTGCTTTTTGCCAAGGATCAGTTGATGCATGTTTTGGGGTATATTTGGGGAGTCTCAATTTTGTATTATTTGTCTGCCTGACTGTTTTTATGCCAATATCATGCCATTTTAATTATCACAACTTCATAATATGTTTTGAGGTCAGAAAGTGAGATGTCTCCTATTTTATTCTCCTTGTACTATGTTGCTTTGGCAATATAGAGCCTTTTATGATTGGAATTGCATTGCATTTTTACACTTTTTTTAGATTTTTGCCATAGGGTGTGCGCACTGATTGGAGAGACAAAGAGACAGAAAGTGAGAAATCATCTGCTGGGGAGATGGCCATGCTGCAATCCCTTCTCCAATTTTCTTTCAGGATTTTGGACACACACACACACACACACACACACGTGCCTGAGTGCACGTTGGGCATGAGTTTAAAACCACAAGGGCTGAGACTCAAACTGCATTTGGCCATGGGGGAGACCAGCAACATAGCCATTACGTTATCTAGTGGTCCTGGAATTGCACTGAATTAAAAAATATGGAATGGTTTACAAATTTGCATCTCATTCTTATGCAGGGAGCATACTAATCTTGTCTGTATTATTCCAATTTTAGTATATATGATGCTAAAGTAAGCACTCATGTGATCTGATAATTACTACTAGGTTGTAAGTTCCATCAGAGCAGAGATTGTGGCTGCTTTGTATTCTATGATATTCCCAACATCTTTGTGGGGTCAGCTGTCTCAGGGGCTAGTTTTTCCTATTTGCTCAATATGAGCAGGGTATTGCCACTGTCTGGCAGGAAGAGCATTTTAAGGGCTACCTCCTGAGCACAGATTAACTAACGGTGGGTAAGTTTTACTTTCCTAAAACTTGATGTGGGCAGTATGAGGGTTAGAAGAGCTTCAGTCACATAATGGGTGCTCAGTATAATTACTGACAGCTCCAGCAGAGAAGTGGAGCTGCTCATAGTGAGGGACCTAATATACTTTGAGGGCATTGTGTCAGTGGTATGAATGAGCTTCCTGGAAAGCACAGTGAAGGGACTAGCAATTCTGCCAGGCAGGTGGAACCTTCAATCACAGGTACAGCATATTTTCCAACGCCTACAGAAATAAGATTGTGGGTATTCAGATCAAAGTACTCTTTGTAGAATAAGGTAGCATCTAAGTCATAGCAACTCCAAGGCACTGGTGACGGAGGCACAGCAGAGAGAGAATGTTTTCTAATTTTTCATTTTTCACTTGCCAGTTGTAGTCTCTTTCCTTTAAGGCAGACATTGTATGCAAATGCTAGGCTTTAACCAACCCAGAGATAGGACTCAGGTTGTCTTAAAAATGCTTTGCAGAAGTGAGATCAACCTAGAAGTAGTAGGTGAGTCTCCCATCATGTCAAAACTCTTGACTCCTGCTATAGAGAGCACTCTGTCATCTGTTAAATTCTTGCTTGAATCTAAGATAAAATGAATGAATCCAGGGTAAAGTCTATATGAAGACTAATTATTTCTACTTAAAAGGAAATAGTTTTCAGAATAATGTTCAGATTACTAAATGTAATGTGTGCTTTCTTGTTCTTATAAGTGCAAGAAAGCATTGCAAGAGCAAAATTAAAATTCTAGAAGTAAATAGACTTACCCCTAGTGTCTCTGCATCTTCTATAAAGTTTGTTACTCTTCTATCCATTGCCGCACTTACCATTCACGTACTTCCTTGACCCAGCTGACTTGCAGAGATTCCTGGAGATGGAATGAAAGGAAGTTGACCACCTAGAAAGTGGTTTCCTAGGTATATGTTACCTAGAGGTTGTTGAGACACAAGAGACATACAGATGGTTTGGGGATAATTGCTGGTTATATTTTCATGCACTGCCAAGTGGATTGTTGGCTTGGATAACATACTCTGTGTATCGAAAAACATACCAAAATGATACCTTTGCACAGAAAAGAAACCAAAGAAAATCTTATGGGATGTCAATTATCTATGTAAATGGTAAAGAACAAGCAAGCAGATGATGGGCAATGACAACAAATGTAAACATAATGGTTATTTATCTTTGGAATCCTTTGTGTCCTCTGGTTTAAAGGAAATGAAAGAGGGGAAGATAGAATACATTTATTTTCCTATTCCTATTTGGTTTAGAGAAATGTGTGTGTGTGTGTGTGTGTGTGTGTGTGTGTGTGTCTGTGTGTGTGTGCACATGTGTGTGTATCTTCCCTGAGTTCCTTGCATCTGACAGATAAAAAGAGAAGAAGAACAGTGGTAGGCAATATGATGCTCACCTCACCACACCCCCTGAAAGGTAACCATACCCTAATCCAGGAACATGGGGATATGATATGCTACATGAAAAAGGTAATCAAGGTTGCAGGTAGAATTAAGGTAGTCAGCTGACCTTGACATAGGGAGCTAATTCTGGATTATTGGTTGGGCCCACTGTAATCATAAGGGTCTTTAAAAGTGGAAGAGGTAGGGCCAGCAGGTGACATTGTGTTTAGAGTGCTGGATTCCCATTACAGTTCGAGTCTTGGATTCAGTGATTTGAAAATCACCAATGGCATGTGTGTTCGTATGTCCATAATGTCAAGAAGAAATTATAGATGAAAGAATTGTGGTATGGCTATACTTCCTGTGAGGTGATTCTTAATTTCCCTCTCTGTTGAGCACACATGCCCTAGGGCAAAAACCTTTAAAAAAAGAAAGAGGAAAGGCAAAAAAAGGAAAAGAGGGGACCAACCATGTCCTGTGGAGTTGCATTCATATAACCTATGACAAAAAAGATTTCCAGAGACAAGTGTAAAAATTGTACTGGTACATAGTGAACTTCCAACTAAACAAGAATATTTCATTATACTTGCTATTATTACTACTATTACAATAACACAGTAAACTTTTATTAAGAATTTATATTTGACAGGCCTAGTTCAAAGACTTCTTTTCATTATTATTATTTTTTTTGAGAGGTTTTTGCTATAAGGGCATGTGTACTCGCCAGAAAGACAGTGAGACAGAGAGCGAGAAATCACCCCCCAGGGAATGTCCACACTGCAATCTCTTCCCCCACATTCTTCTCCTAATTTTGGGCACACAAGCACACATGCCTGGTGCATGTTTCAAGTTGCCAGACCCAGGACTTGAACCATGATCGGCCATGTGGAAGTTCAGCAATGTAACAATTATGCCATCTGCTGGTCCCAAGAACAACCTTATTAATAGATCTAACCCAATGTTTTTTGTTTCTGTAAAATTTAAAGGCTGACAATAGTAGTATTTAAACTTCATGTTACTCAAAGCATGTTCACTTATTTAAAGAAGACTCAGACATTTTATGAATCCTTATCATTTTAATTAAGTATAACTTTAAGACCTCAAATTATTTAAAAACAAATTGTATATACTTTATTTATAACTCTTTAAGTTTCTTTTAACCACTATGTCTTGATTATTTGTGAAAAGCAAGAAAGGCTAATTATTAATCTATTTTTTGTCAGTTATATAGCATATAACACAACATGTAAATACCAGTTATATTATTAAAAGAACAATATTAAGACAAATATGATAGTGCCTGACCAATAAAATCTTGGAAAAAACGTATGTTGGATACTATGAAGGTTTATTTTTTTGGGGGGGTGGGGAGAGATTTTTTTGCTATAGGACATGTGCACTTGCCCAGGAGACAGAAAGTGAGCAATCACCCTCTGGGGGGGATGGCCACACCGCAATCCCTTCTCCTCCATTCTCCTCTTGGGATCTTGGGCATGAGCTTGAAGCCACCAGGTCCAGGACTCAAACCATGGCCAGCCAACGGCTATACCATCTGCTGGTTCCTAAACCTGTTTTAAAATCGTAGTTGAATGTAGGTATTTGTCAAAGACTTAGTCATGTGAACTTGAAAAGCATTTGAATTAATTTGTGTGAGTGTTCTTAATAACAACTCAGTGTAATTCCTTAAGGCCTTTTATCACATGGGCATATGACATACAAGACATATATGCACATACACTAACAAAAAGTCTCATAATGCTTTTGGGAAGTTTTTTTTTAATACTTTTTTTTTGGTCTCCTTTTAAAGAAGTTTTAGAACTTAACCCTGAGATGTTCACTTTTTAACCTCAGGCTTTGTTAGAAAGAAATTAGTTTATAAATGATCTCAAATATTTTAGCAAACAGATGATCTGTAGAGCTGAGAAGTCTCTACATTTTTATTCCATATTCACAGGACTTGAATTGTTCTTGTATCTGTCCAAAAGCCAAAGAAATGTTGAAATTCAGTTCTCTATTAATATTTACTAGGACTATCAAAAAAGCAATTATTGAAATCGGTTTGAATCTGCTTAAGTTCAGTAAGAGAAAAAGGGCTTGTGAACTTATAAAGGACTGAATGTTCTTTCTCTTATATCTCCCCAAAATACTGTACATGTAGTTTTTCTCATTTCTGCAGATATTTCTAAAGAGTCAATATTTCTCTCTGGTGGGCAGGCTTTCTTTCTTCCAACTTATATTATTAAAATATTTGAGTGTAAAACAAATTTGTCTTTTTTCTCACGTTTGTGAGTCACAGGAATTTTAATGTTTTAGAGCACAGTCCAAGGGAATCAGTCCACCGCAGCAGGTGGTAGAGTATTTTTCATCTGTAAAAACAAAGGAGGAACAAAATGTGTTCTTCTTATCTCACCCCTGTGCAGGAGACAGTAGATGTAGTTAGCCAAGTCTATTGCCTGGGAGAAACAGGTGAGAGGTATCAGTAGCATAAATCACCCACCAGTCTTTTCCACACCTGGCCACCAGTCCTAATGGCAAGATAGGAAATAAAAGCCTGCCAACAGCCAGAGTGGAGGAGGGTGCGCGCCACTTTCTAATCTCCTCCCTATTTTCATTTTAATCCTCCCACAAATTGCAGCCAGACCCACACAAGAAAATGGCCATCAGTGTGTTTCTTCTAAGCAAAATTACTGGACGATCTTGTTCCCCCATAGAATACAATATTTGATTAAACATAACATCTGATTGAGTCCAAGCCCAGTGGTCTCAGCTCCACTTGAGCAAGTGCAAATCTATATACTTGGCCATCTATTCTTGTATTTCCACTAAAGGCACAGGAACATAAACTATTATAATGTGTTCTCCATAAGCTGCTCCAAGGTTTAAAAATTTTATTATTCTTCCCCAGTTGCCCCCCTTCTGAAGAGCTCACTTAATATCTGTATCCAGTCATGCTGGTCTGTATGAGGGGCTACGTGAAGTGAGGCTTTTAGACCCTGGAGAGAAAATGAAACATGGGTTTCAAATGTATCCCTCATAACTCTTAAAGCATGATGTGCAGGATTTACTGTGGAGGGAGTTGTGAAATAAACACAACCATTCTGATTCAATTGGTAATTTGTAAAATCCTTCATCCAAGTTTGAGTGTTTTGGACCATTCTTTGAATATCTGGAAGAATTTTCTGCTTGAAGTAGGTTAAAAATTACTCCTAGTTTTTGTAAGAGAAAAAGGTGATCAGTCAGTCATTTGTCCCAAGATCAAGAAAGGCTGCAATTTAATAAATGCTTCCACACAGCTAGCATATATGAGTAGGCTTTGAAGCAAGACTCTGAATGAGGGAAAAGAGTGGGGAGGAAGATCTGAATGTCTCTTATGCATTCCTGTTAGACCAAGTTAAAGCAATTGCATGTAAAGGAAGAGTGAGTTTCTTAAGTCTTTTTAAAACAGAGACTGAGCAAATAGGAAAAAATAATTGGTTATCTACTAGAGCGATTTTGTGCCCCAAGTGATAGAAAAGAACCATGGCAAATTCATGAAATGTCCTGGCCTAGGATCGTCAGTCACAGTCAGTCACAGAGACAAATTGTTAGCCTTTTTAACACATTTTTTTCTCAGAGAAGAGAGAAAGAAACACACTTTTTTTTTTCTTTTTTAGGGAGTGAGAGAAAGCTAGATAGAAGTAAAGAGAGGGATATTCTCTTACACCTTCGTGGGCTATGGGGGATGGCTTCAGATGGACCTTCTGAATGCACCAGAGGATAGACCTGGTCATTCACCATCAATTGTCCCAAGAGCATTCACCTTTTCACATGACAGGATTCCAGAAAAGAAACCAAGTCACAAAACCACCAATATTCCGAAAGCCTTTGACAGTGCTAGGGGGTCGACTGAATGTTTCTTGGAAAGTTTGTAACCTGAAATTTTTGAAACAGAAAACCACACTATAACTGCCTTTAAGTGATCAACAGATGCCTGGTTTGTTTTTGATAGAGTCAATTTCTAGGGATGAGAGAGTCCCAGAAAAAAAGGTAGAGTCCACTTTTCTTACCTCTGTAATGAGTTGAAAAATCTGAGTCATGGCTCCAAATATGACATGGGAATGCTGAGTGATCAGACCCAATACTTGTGGTAGTTCTTGTCCCAGGCTCACGAAGAACTAGTGATGTGGACACAGAGAAGAGAATAAAGTGGGGTTTACTAGAGAAGAAGAAAAAACTTCCAATGCAATAAAAAGAGGCCTAAATGGGTTGTCAGAGAGGAGCTGTAGGTTTGGTACTTTTATCTTGCAGTTCCAGCAATGGGCTGGCTTTCTGATAAGGAAGAGGGCTTTACAAAATGGTTGCATGGTAGTCTGAATGATTTATTACTCTATTTTTTGTGGAGTTAGCAGACTATACTGCTCTGTACTTTTCGTTTGAATAAAGTTCCTATATAGAAATTGCTTTGAGTCCCAATGCAGCATGCTTTTTGACTGTGAAAACAGCCCCATTTTTGCCAACTTGGCCTTACCCTCTCTGTGTGCTCAAGATCCTTATTACCTTTTTTATTAGAAAGGAGTCATAACTTCTTTACAGACATGTAAAAGGGGTGTATATTGTAATATAAAGAAGAAAAACACAGAGACTTCATTAAAAACAAAACACAATGTCTTCTTTTTGGAGCCTCTACCCTATCAACCTGTAAGTGGGTCTAGCTCCCATCCCAATTCTGTTACATAAAATTGGCATTTAAAAAAATATAATACAGTGCTAGACATAGATTCATGAAAGACTAGGATGACACCTTTGTCCTTCCTGAGTCCTCCTTTTAGTTCTAAAAATTTTGTTAAACTAAGATTTTAAGGTTTATAACCTATATATTTAAGAGCTGTTGATATATGCTAAAAGTTAAACAGTCTGGTTAATATAGATGTATGTATTAATTACAAGCCTAATGGCTCCTGAAGAGATTTCAGATTTCTCAGGGTCCATGTTCATCTGTTTCTCCCCCACCCTGGGAAAGTATTCCTATTGGAGATTCTCTTTCTCTCTCTCTTTTCACTTTTTAACTTTATTTATTTATTTATTTTATATTCCATCACTGTGTATCATTACAGTATATTGAATGATTTTCCCCATTGTGAATATACTGTACATTGGTTCACTCACAGATGTTACCATACATATTATCATCAACTGATCATTTTCCATTTTCGTGTCCCTTAAATGTTTTGTTTCTTTCTTTTTCCTTTTGATCCCCTCCCTCTCACTCTCCCCCATTCTCCACCCTCCTCTTACACTATCTCTAGTTTCCATACTTGCTCTCTCTGCCTTTATACCTTCCAGTTTCTGTCTTAGAGTGCAGACACTAGTCTGGCTTGCTTCTCTTAGCTGTAAATCTTCCATATATCATCCACTTGCTATCAAATATGAGGGTATCATCATTTTTTTATGGCTGAGTAGCATTTTGTATTGTATATGTGCCACACTTTTTCCATTAATTCATCTGTTTATGGACACATGGGTGGGTTCCATGTGTTAACAATTGTGAATAATGCCACAATAAGCAAGGATGTGCAAGTGTTTATCTGAGTGCATTCTCATCGTTGTTATCTTTTGGGTAGATATCCAGGAGTGGAATTGCTGGATCATCAGGTGTTTCTATTTATAGATCTTTGAGGAATCACCATATTGTTCTCCATAGTGGCTGTACTAATTTACGTTCCCACCAACAGTGTAGGAGAGTTTCCTTTTCTCCACAGCCTCACCAGTACTTATCATTGCTTATTTTTTTTTTTTTAATCTTAGCTATTCTGACTGGGGTTAGATGGTATCTCATTGTAGTTTTGATTCTCATCTCGATGGTATATCATTATAGTTTTGATTTGCATCTCCTGTGTGACAAGTGATGTTGAGCATTTTTGCATATACTTTTTGGTTGTTTGTATGTCTTCTTTGGAGAGTTGTCTATCAGCTCATTTGCTGATCTTTTAATTGGGTTGATCATTTTGGGGGGAGTGAACTGCTTTAGTTCCCTGTATATTCTGGTTATCAGTCCCATATGTGACGCATAGTTTTCAAATATAAAGTTGTTGATTACTTTGTCATTTCTTTTGCTAAGAAGAACCTTTTTAACCTGATGTAATCTCTCTTGCCTACTTTTTGGATTATTGCCTGTGCTTTAGGGGTCTTATTTAAGAAGTCTTTGGTTACTCCAATGTCTCTAAGAGGTTCCCCTGTGCTTACCTACTAGCTGGACTGGGATACATACCTTGGTCTACATATCTTCTCTACTTTAAAACTCTTTTCTCAGACCTTCAACCAAGCCTAGAGAAAATATCCCAAAGTATTTTACAGATTCAGGACCAATTAGACTTCATGGCATAGTAACCATTCAAACCAAAGAGGCCTTTACCTTCTCACAGCAGAAATGGAAGGGGAGTCTCTGCCTCTTTCTGGAAGAAGAGTGCTGTTTTGATCCTTCCCCTGGTTGTCTCCACTGTAACTCCTTTCTTAGTTTCTGTAGGACCTCCACTCCTAGAAATACTAAACTGCTTAATCTGACACGACATCTGACAATTGGTCCCCAAACAGGCTGAAAATGGCTTGTTGCTCCAGAGGGTACAATATTCATGCCTGCCTCCGGAGGACTTAAATCCCTCCCCTCACCCTAAAGGACAATATCATTTTTCAGCATGAAACAGCTCCAGGAGACTGGCCAGTGTCCATAATCCCTTGTCCCACCTTGCCCTATCTATTTTTTATAAAAGATAAAGGCTGAGAATGTTATATTGGTCCCTGAATGACCTTTAGGTAATTTCCTATCAGAAAAGAAAGAGATGTTTGCAGTGATCTTTGGCCAGAATCCTCAGGCCAGAGCCCTCCCTTACTCTAAGATGATACCCATAGACGGGCCTATAAGGTCACAGAGGCAATTAAGCTAATCAAAGTACACACCATTCTTGTGACTCTACCCCTTCACCCCTCTCACCAGGTCTCTGTGGTAGAGTGGACTGAAGCACCTCCAACTCCCAGGTGCTCTTTCTCTTAATAAACTTTTCTTTTGAGATGCAACCTACTGAGTCTTACTTCAAACCCTTACACTTCCTACTTTATTTGATATTTAAAATTTACTGAGAGAAACTGGTAAATTCAATTCCTTACAAAAAGTTCATGAAAATAAATATTTGAGACTGTTTCAAGGAAATAACAATAATTATAACATAGTGAAAGGTGTTTCTGAAATTAGGAAGGCACCAGAATCTCTCCTCCTGTCTGGAAAATTTCTGTCTTCCTTCTTGTCCTATTACCTCTCTTAAAAACAAACAAACAAACAAACAAACAAAAAAGCACAGACCAGGAATAGCCTTTTGGCCAGAATTGCCATCTTCCGGTAATTCACCAAAATGGTGAACACAAAGACAAAGAGAAGAGGCACCCAATTTATGTCCTCTAGGCCTTTTAGGAAACATAGAATGGTTCCTTTGACAACATATATGTGAATCGACAAGGAAGGTGATATCATAGACATCAAGGGAATGGGTACTGTTCAAAAAGGAATGCCCCACAAATGTTACCATGGCAAAACTAGAAGAGTCTACAATGTTACCAAGCATGCTATTGGCATCGTTGACAAACAAGTTAAGGGCAAGATTCTTGCCAAGAGAAATAATGTGCATATTGAGCATAGTAAGCATTCCAAGAGCAGAGATAGCTTCCTAAAACATGTGAAGGAAAATGACCAGAAAAAGAAGGAAGCCGAAGATAAAGGTATCTTGGTTCAGCTGAAGCATCAACCTGCTCTACCCAGAGAAGCACACATTGGGAGTATCAACGGAAAGGAGCCTGAGCTTCTTGAGCCTGCTCTCTATGAATTCATGGCATGATGGGTGTTTAAAAAAAAAAAAAAAAAAAACTAAACTATAGTCTTTAAAAAAAGAAGAAGAAGAAAAAAAAAGACCAGAAATAAACTTGGTAGATACATGTTGGAAGATCACTTGGCATATTGTCATTGTTACCAAACTCAAACCAGATTTGCTCTCCCAGGCATGATCAGCTAAACCATAAGCACATGGTGTAAAGAATGTGAGAAACACACTCACGCATCTAATGCCAAATAAAGAAACGGGGACACAAGGTACGGGGAAGCGAGACTTTAATGACAGTCTTGTAAGATCGAGTGTCTAGTGGGCAGGCACACCCAAATCAGTTACAACAATTTATTCCCTAGTGCACAAATCTCTCTCCTAGTTCCTCATTGGCTGAGTACTGTGGGGAGTACAGTTTTCCACATCACATAAAGTTTATTATTCCCTTATTAAGGCATAGGCTTAGTACAAGCTTGCAAAAAAGGCCCGACAAATATCCTGAGGAGGAACTGGGAGGTAAAAAGGCACAAAGGATTAGTGACAGTCACCATTTGAGAAGATATTTGTCAAGGGCAACTTGATTTTGGGTTATGTTTATTCAGGACCTTTTTGGGAATGTGTACTTTCTAGGGTTGTCACATCAGCCTTATTAAGGCATAGGCTTAGTACAAGCTTGCAAAAAAGGCCCGACAAATATCCTGAGGAGGAACTGGGAGGTAAAAAGGCACAAAGGATTAGTGACAGTCACCATTTGAGAAGATATTTGTCAAGGGCAACTTGATTTTGGGTTATGTTTATTCAGGACCTTTTTGGGAATGTGTACTTTCTGGGGTTGTCACATCAACAAGATGGCGAAGCAACTTTGTTAAGCTATCCAGTTTGAGTTTTGTAACAATAACAGTATGTTGAGTGACCTTCTAACATGTATCTACCAAGTTTATTTCTGGTCTTTTTTTTTTTTCTTTCTTTTTTAAAGACCATAGTTCTAGTTTATTTTTAGCATCCATCATATGAATCACTTAAGGTTTCTTTTCTTTTTTTTTTTTTTAAAGTTAGTGATTTCATTTTCATTGATGGTTTGGTATTTTTTTGTTCTTTACAAATCATCTTAGTATTTGTTGGCTTTCCTCACCATAGTCTGTGTTAGCCTCCATCAACACAAGGCTAATTTGGTCATAGGTCATGGGCATTGGTTTATTAACTGTGGCTTCTATGAACCTCTATGTCAGGCCTCTGACACAAGGAATAATACAGCACCCTACTGCTATTAAAACTCTTAAGTACAATTATAAGAGAATTTAGGACTGAGGATACCATCCCCTTCATTTTCCAAACCCTCCTTCTAACCAGTTAGTAAATGGATCATTAATGCTTACATTTTCAGCCAATTCATTTGCCAATGTTGTAAGCTCTTC